TCTGCACACTTTTCGTGTTTAGGGAAGTTTTTGTTCGTTTTCAATTTCATATTTTTCGATTGAATTCCGTCTAGGTTTTTCTATCAAGTTTTTCTCTCAACCTGTTCAGTTTCTGTTAAATTTGTTTGCATTATATTTTAGGAAATTAATTCTGTACAACTTTCGTTCTTTGAGCTTTGGTCAATTCAAATTATTTAAGTATGAAACGGTGCATTTTTATACTTCCTTAGTAAGTTACTTATGATTAAATTCTATTAACTTTATTTTTTTTTACAGGATGGTAGGTCTTACTAACTTTTTTATGCAGGGCTAACCTGCCATATTTTTATTTCTATTTTGTTTATTTTATAATCAATTTATATTCCATTGTGTACGGACAATAAATAAAATGCCACCGTATCTCGGGAAACTATCCATTTGTCTTGGTGCGGTTGGAAGTACTTGTCTTGTCCCGTAATAAGAATTAAATGTATTTTTGTTTACGTCTAGTGGACACATGGGTGTTAAATCTTGTACTCATACCAGTATACTTGTATACTGGCCCGTTTTGTCTCTTGGCAACTCGGGTGCGTTCTGTTTGAGCGCAGTCAAGCTTCTTTTGCAGGATTAGTTGGGGTTACAGTGGTGATGTGGAATTACTATAGTGTTGGATTGGTCGTTTGAACTTCTTTTGTTTTCTTGAACTTAGAGTTGATATTAGTTTTTCTATTTATTATTATTTTCTTTTATAACTTTAGTATTATGATAATTTGGCATGGTTTGTAACCGTACATTATTTAAGTTATTTTGACTACATATTGTTGCTTTAATGTTTGAGGTATTGGTTAGTTATGAAATTATGGTGGATAGTTTGATTGGCGTTTAGTTTTTTTGTTTCACCCCTCAAATTTGGAAGATGGAATATTAATTGGGGTTTAGTTCTAATTTAATATTTAATTGTCCAAATTTTGGGGCGTGACAGCCAGCATCCTCTGTCTTGTATTTTTTCTCCAAAGAATCCCACAATTCTTTTACGGTTTTCAGAGGGTTGTAAACATTATACAACATGTTGTTAAGGCCATTGAGGATGTAGTTTCTGCATGGAAAATCAGAATGTTTCCAAGCATCCACAGCGGCAACAACTTGCCAATCACTTTCATCCTCTTTAAGTACTAGAGTCTCTTCACGGAGAAATCAGGCCAAATTTAGAGTTGTAAGATAGAACAAGATTTTCTGTTGACATCTCTTAAACTCAATGCCATTAAATTTTTTCGATTTTTTTCCATGATTTATCAGTACTTGAACATGGTTCTGGATAGAGACCAGAGTCGTTGTAACGATTGGTTTTGGAGTACTACTTTCAGCAGCCATAATATTTGATTACAAAAATCAGAAAAAACCAAAACACAAATTAATTTTCTAATTACTAAAACTAGAAAATAAATTATAACACAAAATAATTTTATTTTCCTTGTTACTAAAACTAAAAAAATAAAATACCACAATAATTTTCTGTAACACAAATTAATATTCTACAATTGCTAATGACACCAGTATATTATTACTAGTTGTCAAAGAAAATAAACAGTATACTACTGCTATTTGTCAAACACTATTTGTATTTTTCAACCATAATATCACTTTATGAAAATACAGAAAATCAAATACAATGAAGACACCAAATAAAAGTCTGTCTTAAGATTGTTAGACAATCTTCACTGTATTTGAAAAATAAATTATATTTGTGTATTTAACAACAAACGGAATATAGAAGAAATAAAGGAAATGAAAGAATTTGTTTGATTACAAAAATCAAACCAGAAAATAAAATAAAATAAATAAAAAAGATTTTTATTTTGTTACAAAAACAAAATGAAAATCTGAAACAGAAAAAAAAATAAAACAGAAAATAAATTAATTACATACCAAATTAATTTCTTGAACAAATTTTCTAATCAGTGTCCTTAAGACAGATTCATCATCTTCATGGTACTTTTAGAATGTGGGCATTTATCTCCCAGGATAAAATGATCAACAGCAAACAATAATAGCACTACAAATTGTTTGTACAACGAATATACTAAGTGTTTACATACACTCTTTCTCACAAGAAAAATTATGCAGCAAAAATGCAGAGAGGGCAGGCAAAATTTTGGACGAAATTGGTGTGAAAAACCAAGTGAGAGACTTGTCTATATATAAGTGTAAAGGTGACTTTTCATTTTGAATTAAACAGGTAATCAACATGTTTGAACAAGTAGCAGACTTGTTTGGTTTGAATGACACTGTTTGGGTTTGAATTCAAACAGATATGAATCTGTTTGGGTTTGAATTTGAATTGGGACAGATATAAACTTGTATAGATTTCTAACCGAATTTTTGGAACCAAAAGACTGGACAGATTTTTGAATTTAAATTTCTGAAATTCAAATTCCAAAAAATTAGAATTTAATTTTAAAAGAGTAAAATTCAAATATTTTTTGCTCAAAAAGATAAGTATTGGACTAGACAAGCCTAACCCAACCCAACCCAGCCCGCCTGGATGGACGACAACTAGTTATTTTTGGGTCCAACGGGTCTAGCCCAATTTGCCCATAACCTCTCCCTTCTACAAATTTGAGGTGTCCCTTGGGGCCCTTTCCAAGTTATAATTCCAAGCTTTTTAAACCCATAAATTTCTTCCCACCAAACCAATGTAGGATAAGCCTTTATTCAAACTTTTAAAGATTTTTCACAAAAATTTCATCTTCACGGAGCAAATTTTAGCTTCAATTTTCTATTCACCCGATAATGATTTTGAGCAATCAAATATATCACGTGAATCACAACGCGACATAGAACGTGTTATCACCTTGACTTGCGAAATTTGACGAATGAGTCTTACCTAAAAAATAAACCAAAGTTAAGAAAAAATCAAATTTTTTCAAAACTTCAAAACCATTTCTAACACATTTTCCTCCACTCCACTCTATCTCTGCGTCCCGGCCCTACCTCACATGGGTTTTACCTTTACATCCCGCCCCACACCGCAAGGGGTTTTTCCGTACTAATATATTTATTAAATATATTTATATATATGTATATATAATATATAATTCAAATGACACCAATGATAATTGATCTGCCGGTGAAAGTTGGGTGGTGTTTTTGATGGCTAGTTTTGGGTTTGTGGTTCGATTTCTTGTTTCTTGTTTGACTAAGGCTTTAGGTGGTCCTGATAGATGGAGGTTTTGTGGGCCCATTTTCAAGATTGTACGAATTTTTTTTATGGTATTTAGGTGATAAGCACTTGTTAGGTAGCTGACTTTGACGCTGACTGCTTCCTTGAATGTTTCCCAGCAAAAGGTTTTTTTCTTTTTTTTCGGTAAAAATGTAATGTGTATTTTTGGTTGTATCTTGATTGGAGGTTGAGAGTCTATAAAAAAATCCAATCAAAAAAGAATGAATAATGATTTGTCCCTCGAAATTCTTCTCCCGAATCCTCTTAATAGTCAAAACGACGTCGTTTTGGCCATTTTTTTTTTTTTTTCTTCTTCTTCTTCTTCCATTTCGACTCTGAAACGCAAGAGGGAGAGAGAGAAAAAGAGAGAAGAGGGGAAGAGAGAGAGAGAGAGAGAGAGAGAAAGAAGAGAGTCCAGCCCGTTGCCGTCGTCGCCCAGCCTGTCGCCGCCGTCGCTCGTCTGCCCAACCCCGGTCGTCTGCCCAGCCCCGGTCGTCTTCTCAGCCGCCCCGCCGTCGCAGCCTCTGCCCAGCCCCGCCTCCGCCTCCTTCCATTTTGATGGCCCCCTCCAGTTCCAACTCCTCCTTCCCCTGCTCCTAAAAAAAAATAAAATTCGGGGGATTAGGGGTCGCTCGGTTTCGAGCGACGTAGCATGACCCATTAAAGAAAGAGTATCAACTTACCAAGAAATTGCAAACATCATTTTGAACGGAAGAAAATTACAAAAATCAGTCAGGTGCATTATACCCTTTTTAATAACATTATTTATTTATTTATTTTTGAGAATGGGCCCACAAAATGTAATGGTATTTATTTTTGTAACAAGACGGTTGTGTGTGTGTGCGCGAGCGCGTGTGAGAGAGAGAGAGAGAAAATTCTGTACACTCTGGAATGTGCATATGGAGTTGAGCCAAGGTTCTCTCCTTGCAGCTTCATACTTGCACTCGTCCTTGCAGGCCTTCGGGTCTATTTTTAGGCCCAATTTTAATAATTCGAACCGTTCATATTTTATGATTTATTCAGTATATCATACCTGTAAAAAATCAAATTGATCGGATATCAGAAAGCATATGTTCGGAAAACTGTTTATTAAATTCTTTAAAAAATAGTTTTTAGTTCAATTTTTCGAACACATACTTTCTGATATCCGATCAATTTGATTTTTTACAGGTATGATATACTGAATAAATCATAAAATATGAACGGTTCGGATTATCAAAATTGGGCTTAAAAGTAGACCCGAAGGCCTGCAAGGACGGACGCAAATGCATTGAAAATGTAATTTCAATTTCAAAATCGTATTTTCAAAATGCGATTTGAAAAGCAGGTTAGTTTTCCAAATAATTTAAAAAGTGGGTCAATTCTCTAAATAGATTTTTTTTTTTAGAATATTTTTTTTAAAAACTCCTACTATTGGAGTAGAAAGCATATCATTGTGATACAAAATCATGGATAAATGCGGTGATTAAAAAGCAAAAAATTGTCACCAAAGCAAGGAGAGATTAGTTATGCGATCTTGCAAGCTTGAAGCCTTATAATGAGGTTTTCCAAGAATTTTTTTTTTAAGTGCATAAAATCTGATTACATATGGAGACTTGCATCTAATTCTACAATTGTATAAATGTAGATTAACTAATATTGCAAAATGTTGGCCAAAAGGAAATAAACCACAACACCACCTACAACAACACCCCCAATACCGAATGAACTAAGAAACTATTTGCTACTGAAGTAATGCTTTAAGCCATTTATCAAGTTATACTTATGTTGTCTTTCACAGTATTAGCACAAAAGTGATAAATTCTCCAATTTAAACCAATAATTATAAAATTGAATCACCAAATAAACATTGAATAAATTTCTCGAATGCACCACCTACCAAGTACAAGAACTCTTGAATGCTTTGCAACAATGGGTATCTCACAATAATGCCACACCACCTTTTTTAGAAAAATGCTTGAGACACTTGAAAATACCCCCTAATGATGTGTCTGACATTGTTACATTTTTATATCATACTATGTTTCCGGAATTACTTGTCAACATATAACATTGGTGTAATGGATTTGCACTACTCATATATATTTTCAATATAGTATTGACAACGTCCTTTTAAATTTAGAGCTCCTCAAATCCTTCCTCGTCACCTTCTTCCTCTACTCTTTGAAATTCTCTCCTCCATGTATCCATCTGTCCCACATGTACTAACATCAGATAAATAATAACATTTATACATTAAAGCTGAAAGAAGCTTTCTCACCTGATCATCAGAAAATCGTAATTGTTCGGCAACAAAAAAAATGCTCTTGTAGTCTCCTGGCAACGGTTTCCTGCCTAGGTTCTTTGCAATTTCATTGTTGCAAATCATGTCCACTCGGAAACCATTGCTCATAAAAAGCTTGTCCATATTCTGTGTGCTTGACTGTGAAACAGAACCGAAAAACAGATGGTCTTTAAAAACTAAAAAATAAAAATAAGGCATTTGAATTCAAGAGAGATCCTCATTCCAACTCAAAACTGACCTTGATTTCAGTCTCGGTTTCTATCAACCAGGCAGGTAATTCCCCCAAAAAAAGACATCCCTTCATGGCCAAGTTACTTACAATGGAAATAATTTCTTCAAAACTCTCCAAAGTCATCACTGGCAGTCCCTGCATAAGAAAAACAAAATGACTTGTTAACTAAAGCAATCCCCCATTAATGCCTCAGTGGTATGGAGGAGCCACATGTGATTGACTTTATAAATATTAATAAAGCCTTAATCACCTGGAGGGCCCATATACTTGGTCGATTTCCATTAAATCCCTTGCTGCGTAAAGTATGTTGTATATCAGGCGATTCCTCCAGTGAAACATGAAGAAACAAGCAGCTCTTTGGAATCTTAGCTCCAACATCTAACGGTTTCTCAAGAAAATATTGTCAGGACAAGCTGCAGTCCTTATTGAAACAAAAGGAAAACTGGTATAAGAGAAACTTGGACAGTTGGAATTCATAGAACTCCATGACACTTGGTGAGTGTTCTGCAACATAAAGATGACAACTGGCCAGTAAACTTTTTATTTGTGTGTGTGTGTGTCTGTGCATATTTTTAAGAATCTCAAGCACAATTTTAAGCATTGGGGGCAATAAATTAGCCTAGATTTTTAGCTTTCAAAAGCAACTATTTTATCAAGCTAACATACCCTTTTAATATTTTTCATAATAATAAACAACTTAGTTATAATTGTATTAAACAAAAAATACTTTGTGCATTACTCAAATTGTTCCATAAATACAAAATCTAATCATTCCTAATTGGAACAATATCATTTTGGAGGGAGATCCTCTAGAGATTGTGAATGCTATCAAGAAAATGAATAATGATGGTGGATGGGGCTATGCCACAATTATTCAAGACATCTGACGAGCTCTCTTGGATACCATTCCTAATTGGTCTGTCAGATGGATTCCTCAAACTGTTAATGGAGTGACTCATGAATGGGCAGCTTGGGCATTCTGAAACATATTTTCAGGCTCCTCTGCCAAGGTGTTCTCCTGTTCTCAGTTAGGAATTGCTCGAGAACATGTTATCTTTGTTTGTGGTCATCTCTTAGTTTAGTTTTCTCTGTTTTTCTTTTTCTTTTTTTCTTTCTCTCTTGTCCCTTGTTGTTTGTGTTTTGTTTCTTTCCCCTACCAGCCAAAAAAAAAAATGAAGATACAAAACTTATTCATCTTTGTTTAACATTCAAACCATTTAACTGAAGCTGCATTATGTACTATATGTTCATATCTATACCGATAAATTTGGTGAAGTAAAATGCACCTTCAAGCTTCTGAGCTGCTTTTCTGAATACTCTTTCAGGCGATACGTCAAACATTATAGTCGAAGTTGGCCAATTGAGCCTATAAGGCCGAGTATCCATCCCATCTGTTAACAGAACAACCTGCAGGATATAAGTAGAAATCTATATAAAATTTCACACCAATATAATTAGTCACTTTATCATACATATGCATCACATTATACCTGCTTAAGTCCGTCCATATTGTTCATTGTCGTAAGTAATTTATCATCAATAAACTTGGTTGCAAGGCAATAATGGTGTGAGTAGTGCTCCATATCCATCAGAATATTGTGAGAAACAAAGCAACCAGCATATTGGTCGACAAAAAGAGGATCTGCAAGTAAGCATTAATCACACACCTCTTGGTTCACCAAGAAATTCTCCTTATAACTTGCATAAAATATATAAAAAACACATGTCAAGAGATGACAAAAAAGAAGATGGATGTGCATGGAGAGATTACATATAGAAGCCGGTATTTGCAGAGACCAAGAGAACCTTCTAGGTATTGGTGATGAGGTAGGGACATTAAGATGGACAAGTGGCAAGACAAGAATCAAGGTCACATGTAAGAAATGTGCTTGTGAAAAGTTACAAGTAACCAATGTAAGAAGAAGAAAAAAGGGAGAATCAGAGCACGGGATTCCTGCTAAAGCGAGTGGGGAGGGATAAATGTACGCAGGCAATTGAATTGAGAACACTTTGACAAAGAATGATGAGGAATTCTTTTTGGGTCCGAGTGATAAGTGTAAAATAAATTGATAGAGAGAGAGAGCAAGTGAATAAATGTGTATATTGAATTTGTTGTTGTAATTACAAAGGGAGCTTAGCTCTCTATTTATAGTCTGATATTGGATGCGAGGCATGCCATGCGAGACGCGAGGCACCGAAAGGCAAGGCTAAAGCTTTAGCCGAAAGTGAACAAACATAATGATAACAATGAACGGATACAATGCTAATAAACAATACTAAAGTAATGCTATAAACAATGCTATATTATATACAAAGTATAATAATATACTAACAATAAGTAAGTTCAAATCGACGATTCAAGTAGGACAACATGAGCAAAGAAAAGCATGAGTATTTGAGATTGTCAAATGATCTAACAAAAAATACAGACAAAAACCAAGTAATTTGGACAATACTTCATCAAGTCCTATGTCTTCTTCCACCTTCACTTGACCATGATCAAATTCTCAATATTACAAATTACAATGTCGATACACACTTCAAAAAGTAAACTTTAACACAAACTGTTCGACAAAATGCCTCAACGAATAAATTTATCTGAATCAGTGTACTACAGAGAGAGAGAGAAAGAGAGAGGTGGGTTTGCCTGGACGATGGGTCTCCTGAAAGCGAAGAGAAGCGCGATCAATGGCGGATTGGAGTAAAGGGTCATCTTCGTCGTCGTCGTTGAGTTTGGCTCTCAACAACAACCCACCACTAATTTTCCTTTTCTTGGAGGCGCATGTTAATAATGGCTGGCGCACAATAGCAGTAGCCACCGAGGGTGAGAAGGCCGCTGCCACACATTCCATGTATGTGGTGGTGCAGTCAGGTCCGGTGAATAACTCAACACCCAGATTATGTAATTTGCGCGGGATTCAAACTCATTTAGGCCTATTTTGATAAATAGAAAAACAAAAAATAATAATAATAATTTATTGACTTATCAAAGTTGATTTATTGAAGTTATGTTACTTTTTTTTTTTTTTTTTTTATGGGCTATTTTGGGAAGTTGGCTAAAAGTCAATTTTTTTTGGTTTGTAACAAAAGCCAAAAGTTAGCTTTTTTGTTTTTTTTTTCATTGGGAAGTTGGTTTTTAGCCAATGGTGAAATTACAATTTTACTCTCATGAGTCAAAATGTGTTACATAGGTGAAGTCGTAAATATTTTAAATAAATGGGGGTAGTTTCGTCATTTTATTATGATTTGACATCATTGACATCATAAACAAACATTAATAAAAAAAGTCAAAAGTCACTTTTTACCAACTTTCCAAATCATTTGTCTAAAAAAGCCAAAAGCTTGATTAAAAGCCAAAAAATTACTTTTTACCATCTTCCCAAAATAAGTCTATATATTTTTTAAAAAGGCCAATAAGCTAAAAAAAAAGTTACTTGGCAAAGAGGCTTAAGTAAGGAGAGATTATATAATTTCATATTTTCATAATTTTAGAATTTGGAACAAATTACCCTACAAAATAATTTGTTAACAAGATGTCTTATCAAGTTTGAAATTGTTGTACCTTTTTCTTTTGTGGAGATTTTTTTTTTTAAATCTTTTATATTAAAATTTTATAAGATAAAAGATAGATAATATTTTTATAATAATTAAAAAAATTTAATATTTTTACAAAAATATTTTAACTCGACAAAAAAAAATTAGGGTGTGTTTGGTTTGTGTTTATAGAGTAATTTTTGAGATAAAAAGTACGAAAACTTATTTGATTTTTCTTTTTTTAAAAATTATTTTAAAAAGAGAGTTTTAAAAAAATAATTGATTTGATGTGTATGAGAGGGAGAGTGTGATTTTGAAAAGTAAGTACCAAACAAAATTTTGAAATTTTTTTAAAAAAAAATTGTTTGATTTAATTATTCTTGAAAATTTACTTATAAAAAAAAATTTCAAAAATTTTTCTAAAAAACAAACAAATCAAGACCTTAATTTTTCGATAAGGACTTTAAATAATTAAAAAAATATATTCCACCTTATCTATGGTTTCGACCTTGCTTCTCTGACAAGACGAAACTGGGTATGGATTTTGCCTTGAGTCCGGATCTTCTGCCATACATTCCTGCCGTGGTCAAAAACGACGTCGTTTTTTACCTTTTTTTTTTTTTTTTTTCGTTTTTTGGATTACCCCTCGCACCAATTAGCAGCTCCGTCACCCACATTCCGAGTCTTAAAATATGCTTAGAGATATATAAAATTGTATTTAGGCCTCTGTTTGGCAAGTTAATTTTCAGGCTTTTTTTGGCTATTTTAGCCACAAAAAACAAAATAGGCTATTTTAGCCATAACAAACAAAACATCACATCCAACCTATAATCATTACATTCTTCTCTCACAAAAAAAGTCAAAAAAGCCAAACTTAATTTTTCGATAAGGACTTTAACTAATTAAAAAAATATATTCCACCTTATCTATGGTTTCGACCTTGCTTCTCTGACAAGACGAAACTAGGTATGGATTTTGCCTTACCCCTCGCACCAATTAGCAGCTCCGTCACCCACATTCCGAGTCTTAAAATATGCTTAGAGATATATAAAATTGTATTTAGATCTTAAAAACAAATAGTTAACCTTGCCAATGCTATTCTACCAACCCAAAAATGAAATTCCAAAAACAACCCACTAAGGCTATCGAGTTTGAAGGTTAGTGGCAGAGAAGTTAGGTATAGTCATAGGAGAGAGAGAGAGAGAGAGAGAGAGAGGGGTCAAATCTAATCTAATGCAGACAACGGCTTTATATCCCCCTCGAATTTGCCACCAAACAATTTCACAGACACACAACAGGAGCAAGAGAGCAAAGCAGAAAGAGGAGAGGGCAGGAGGAGATAAAAAGTGCTTATCTTCAAACCATATCTTCTATTTCAAGAAAAACCCAAGAAAAAATGGATCCCAATAACCAAACCCTAGAGAACCCAGAATCCCAAACACCATCAGAAGACCAAAACCGTCTTGCCATTGTATCCTCCTCCAACAACAACAACCCTCTTCCCACTGCTTCAATCTCTCTCTCTCTCTCCACAATCCTCCCAACCCATTTCCTCCTCCCTCCCAAAATCTCTTCTTTTCTCTCCTCTCCTACTCACCCCAACAAGGTCAAAATCCCTTCTCAAATCTCATCCCTCTCTCACCTCTCTCTCTCCTCCTCTCTCTCCCCTGCTAAACCTTTCTTCAAATCAACCATCTCCTCAAACCCTCTCCAAAACCCACTTTCCCTCAACCCCCGCCGCCCTTCCGACCCCTCCTACCCAGCCGGAATTCGTCGAGCTTCCATTGTTTGGTTCCGCAACGATCTTCGAGTCCATGACAACGAGTGCCTCAATTCAGCCAACAATGAATCCATGTCTGTTCTTCCTCTGTACTGCTTCGACCCCAGAGATTACGGAAAATCGTCATCTGGGTTCGATAAGACCGGTCCGTACCGTGCCGCATTCTTGATTGAATCGGTTTCGGACCTCAGGAAGAACCTTCAGGCAAGAGGGTCTGATCTTGTGGTCAGAATTGGGAAGCCCGAGACTGTGTTGGTTGAATTGACGAAGGAAATTGGGGCCGATGCTGTGTATGCTCACAGAGAGGTCTCGCACGATGAGGTTAAGGCTGAGGAGAAGATTGAGGCGGCGATGAAGGATGAGGGTGTTGAATTCAAGTACTTCTGGGGAAGCACTTTGTATCATGTTGATGATTTGCCATTTAAAATGGAGGAAATGCCCACGAATTATGGTGGGTTTAAGGAGAAAGTGCAGGGTTTGGAAGTGAGGAAGACGATCACGGCTTTGGATCAATTGAAGGGGTTACCGTCTAGAGGAGATGTGGAGTCTGGGGAGATTCCATCTTTGGTCGATTTGGGTCTCAACCCATCTGCAACATTGGGTCAGGTATGGGATTTGTTGTTGTTTTGTATGGTTCAATTTCATTCTGTCCCTGGTTCTTTAAAATTGCTATTTTATCCAATTTAGTTTTTGTTGATTCTATGATAACTGTTCTGCCATTTTGTATGTATGCCTTTCGTATTGCAAATGATTGGTAGAAGGAAGGGAATAGGAATTCTTTGTGACTAGTCATATAATATTGGCTTAGTTGAGAGTATTTAAATCTTGAAGTTCTGAAGTACTACTGATTTTGTTAACCTTACCAATAGTTGTAAACATAAAGAAATAAAGATAATTGAATGAACAAAGACTAGTAGCTTATAAATTATAATGCATTCTGTGGGAAGAAATATGAGTACTGGTGAATTGTTTCAAGTTCACATTTAAAACAATTTGATTGTTTTTGTTTTCTCTTTCTAATTTCCCTTTTTTGTTTTCTTTTTTTATTTGAACAATGTAAAGGATATGCATTCATATCCTGAGTCAAGCCTTTATTACTTTGCCTAAACTATATTTTGTGTATAGAATTGGGATTCCCCTTAGAATTGCGCGTGGACCATTGTTATCAAATCGCAAACCGTTTTGCCTTTTGTCTGAAGGTAGACAGGAATCACAAACTGAAAGCTTTACATTCTGTGAAGTCCTTTTATTCTCCTGCAACAATGCTTAAATAGCAGTTCTACTATGTTGACATGTTGGGTGTGAAACCATTGAAGACAATCACATTTAGAAATTTTTTAGGCTTTGTAGCATCCCTTTGAAATGATTTCTCGCACTGAGTCACCAATTTTAATGGTATACTCATGCTACCTGCTGAGTTCTGCACAAATACATGTACATATATATATATATATATGTGGCCTACAGCATCAACAATATTTCAACATTTATTGGAAATAGTAAGAAAAACTGACAGACTTCGTTGTCTACTTTCGAAAAGTAACATGGTCAGCATTTACTGTCATGTAGGATGGAAAACCAGCCACCAATGCTTCTCTGGTGGGAGGAGAAACTGAAGCATTGCAGAGGCTTACAAAATTTGCCGCTGAATGCCAAGCACAACCAAACAAGGGAACCAAGAATGGAAACAATGATAGCATATACGGTGCAAACTTCTCCTGCAAAATCTCTCCTTGGCTTGCTATGGGATGCCTCTCTCCCCGCACAATGTTTGATGAGCTGAAGAAATCTGTTTCCCGGTATGCCCTAGTTTACTGTGTTCTTGTTTGCTGGTTGAGAAAAATTGTTCTCTATAATGGAATTGTCCGACATGTTCTTACTTTGGAATGATTTGATGTGATTGACAGGACAATTGCCGCTGCCTCAAATCAGAAAGATGGTGGCAGCGGCTCATCTGATACTGGAATGAACTGGTTGATGTATGAGCTGTTGTGGAGGGATTTCTTCAGGTTTCTCAACAAACCATTAAGCTCATATCACACTTTAACCACATTTTTTTAAATATTGTGATTTTTTTAATATGCACGTAAAAATAAGTGTACAAGTGTGGGCTCCTGAATTGTCTTTCTTCATGAAATGGCTGATGCTATTGCTTTCTTCTTGGTGGTTTTTCAGATTCATTACCAAGAAATACAGCTCTGCTAGGCAACCAAGCATTACTCCGGTCACAGCTTGCACAGCTGCCACTGCTTGAGGGAGGAGGGTGTATTAGAAGTGAAAAGCAAATATATTCCTGAAGGAGAGTTTCATCATTCATTAATGACGTCCCAATCTTTAGCTGTTAGGTGTTGTAGGGTTCTTTTAAAAAAGTGAGCTTGTTCCTTGTCGAACACTAGTATTCTTGATTGCCAAAATAATTGTTGATAATGAAAGCTCCTCTTCTTATTCTTGATATGGCCAATTAGTCCAATATTTCGGATGTTTATGTGCCATTCTTGTGAATGACAGGTCTGTTTGGTTGTGCTTTTATTGCTTTGTTATGGCTTTATTTTATTAGGAATGCTTGACAAGGTTACCTTTTTCAGTGGTTTTCAATATTGTGTCATAGAGAGGTGCTTAATAGTCCTAAATTGGTCGATAATTCATGTAGGCGTAATCATAGTTGTGATTGCCCAAAGCTCAAACGTGCTTTTGTATTCATAATTCACTCTATGTTCATTGTAACATCCACACCAGAAATTGTAGCAACCAAATTGCCATAGAATGCAACATCTGTTGATCATGGTATATTATTTTTTTCTAGTTGCAATCAATGATAAATGTTCATATGTGAATTTTAGAGTTATACCAAAAACACTATGTAGGTGTTTGAAAAGTTGCTCTTTTAGTAGGCTATTTTAATTTTTGACTATTTTAGTAAATTAAAATTTTTGTATTTGGGAAGATAGTTGAATTTTTTTGTAGATAAATGTGATGTTTGTGAAAGAAAAAGTGAAATGATTATAAATTTAATGTGATATTTTGTCTTATTGACTATTTTAATATGTTTTGTCTTTCTGTAAATTTTAGCCAAAAAATAGCCTTTGCCACATGATGAATACAAAATAAAATCAATCAAAAGCAAGGTTTGTGGAGGTAAAAAATAGAGTGAGAAAAACATTCATATGATGTCTGAAACTTTAAGGGAAGACAACACAACAAAAATAATCCAAAGCATCATGAGGTAAGCGGAAGTAAGCCAGGCCCATAGCCTTGGCCCTCCAAGCTCAGCTCCCAATGTTTGACGTCTAAATACTAGAACAGCGATACAGCCTACAGAAGTACAAAAGAAGACAAGCAAAGAGAAGCTGAGTCCCTTGGCGTTCTGGATCCGCAAAGGTTCCCTTAATGTTATGAAGTTGTATGCTGTGTCAATGAACCATGGTGCAAATGCCAATATAAATGTTCACCGAATTGCTACAAAGCACAAACAAGAAAACTGTATCAATACAAGTTTTCACAAGGTAAAATTCAAGATAGGTGTGCAACAACCACGTCATGAAATTTCAAGAATGATATCCATGTCTTGTCTAATGAATTTGAGAAAATATAGTAGAGCTAATCTTTTTAAATTTAGCAAGGTCGTAATTGAATTGGAAATTGACAAATGAACCTGCAAGTGATGTTTGCTATGGCAGAATCTGCTGTTGTCTGACGTTCAGCAGCAATCTTGCTTGCCACCAAATCCGGCCACGAGGTTCCAGCCGCCAATGCAGTAAATGCTATGACATACGCATTTATTCCTGCAAATAAATGAAAAATGTACATGAAATGCCTATGTACACTAACCAGACTTAATGCAAATGAATAATCATGGTGAATTAAAGAAAGCTTGGCAGTCAGGAGGAAAACCTGTGACACAGCTTATTAGATCTGTGAACTGTGTGACAATGTATGCTATCCCACTGATGAAAAGTAGGGAGCAAATGAAAGCAATCCACCCATGAGCAATTTGACAAGGAGGGACAAAAGCAAACAAAAGTCTCCATGGTACAAGGAGTATCTGCCCAAAAATTCTTCCGACCCGCAGGTAGATATTGTTCAATTTTCTTGATTCTGTGCTCTCCAACTGTTAAATAAAGAAAAAATTATTCAATAAAAATGTGACCACTTTCTTATGTTCTAAGGATATGAATACATTGTCCACTGAAATTTAACAAGTCATATATATGCCTTATAAGTCTATAAAACAGTAAGCAGGATATATACAAACGTGTTACATTGAGGCTGCATTTGGTTTGCATAGAATTGGCCTTGATTTAGCATTCCAAATTTCCAATCCTGTGGTATCTTTTTTATTAATCCAAATAATCTTGTGGATATCAAAATCTTGTGGATATATATCTATATAATAAGGGAGGAAGGATTTTGAAAATGTATAAAATGTATGTGAGATACATTTTAATTTAATGGTTGAGATTAATCCTAAATATATACCAATGGTTCAGATCAACTCTTTGCTCAAATGCTCTACGCATTCTTTTTCATCCTCCTCTTCATCCCAAAGCCCTCTAATGCCTTACCTCTCAACGGCATTTTCTGACCAACGGCATTCTCTCTCATTCTCTCTCATCCTCTCTCATCCTCCTCCTCATCCCAAAGCCCTCTACCTCCTCCATTGTTAGCGCGATCGGATCCGATCCTCCACCCCTCTCCACGTCGTCACTCTCTCCGAACTCGCTGCCATCGCCTCCCTCATCGCTTCCTGCATCTACCTCCTCGGTTTTTTCGGCATTGGTTTCGTCCAATCCTTCATCACTTGTGCTTCTCACGACGCCTGAGATGTCGACTACGACCGCTTCATCCTCAAAGGAGATCGCTGCCTCCTGATGGATCTGCCGCATGTGAATCGTCAAATCGGTATGATTTGGGTTTGATATTTTTTTTCCCTTCTATCAAGATCAATTTGGGTTTGATTCTAATTTCTATTATTTTTATTTTTTATTTTTGTTCAAATTTTATGTTGTATTCATATATTGGATTACTCATTCGAATTGTTCTAATCGATTTGATAGTACAATTAGCTCATTCAGATTTCTGATCAATTGATCTTGATCAGAATTGTATATGTACATAATCATAGATTAGGAGAAGAGGAAGAGCAGTGGGTTTCTTGCTCTGTCATTTTGGACACAGTACTATTGACTAATGTTTTTGTATTTTTGTTCTGTTTTGTTTTTGCGATCCAGTTGGGTCTGCAGTAGTTGCTTTGTTTTGCTTTTTCTCATCTAGAAATGTAATGTGCTCCCTCCTCTGTATAGAAAGCTAGAAATTAAACCAAAAAAAAAATTATTGTTAGTTTATTTGCCACTGAGTTTGCAGTGTTTACTACATGTTTTGTTCATTGTTGATGGTGGTTTAGTTTTTCATTAACCTTTCATCGACCAACACAAACTCAGACAGGGGGGGTGGTGGTGGGATGGGAGAGGAATAGTATATATACTAATAAGTTTTACTTCAAGAAAGAAGTTCAGAGGAATAGTATATATACTAATTGAAGTTTGCCTCTGCCACTTCCCTTTTCTCATTTTCATAGATTTTAAACATGATAGTGTTAAGCATTTTCAGTGTGAGAAGTATTTACAATATTTTAGGTGAACTGCATCCATTTTGCCGATTTATGTATTGATCATTCAAAAAAAAAATGAAAAAAGAAAAAGAAAAATCAGATCATAGTTATGATTATCAAATTAATTTGATTTTTTTGTGTGAATAATCTATAAATAAACCTAATAAAATAAATAGTTCAAACATCAAATACATGACTTATGATGGGCTCCATGATATCCAACAACACACCAGCGTCTCCCATTTTAAAAACATGATAGAATTTCAGTTTCTTTATTTTATTATGGGAGAGGAATGGCTTACATACTAATAAGTTTTACTTCAAGAAAGAAGTTCAGAGACTTTAACGTTTTTGTCGGGTTGTTTTCTTAACTTTTCCTTTATACTATATTCTAATATTTGAAGTTTGCCTCTGCCACTTCCCTTTTCTCATTTTCATAGATTTTAAACATGATAGTGTTAAGCATTTTCAGTGTGAGAAGTATTTACAATATTTTAGGTGAACTGCATCCATTTTGCCGATTTATGTATTGATCATTCAAAAAAAAAAAAGAAAAAGAAAAAGAAAAATCAGATCATAGTTATGATTATCAAATTAATTTGATTTTTTTGTGTGAATAATCTATAAATAAACCTAATAAAATAAATAGTTCAAATATCAAATACATGACTTATGATGGGCTCCATGATATCCAACAACACACCAGCGTCTCCCATTTTAAAAACATGATAGAATTTCAGTTTCTTTATTTTATTACACCATAACTTTCTTGAAAATCAATCCGGAAATCAACCAATTCTGGAAATCACCATTTTGAGAATTTTTAGTATGATATTAATAACACCCATTTGAGAATTATTTCCCAGTAAACTGATTTATAATAACACATTTTTACCTAAAACTTCTGTGGAATCCACCATTTTGAGCCCTTCTCGCGAGGGTTGTTTCTCTTTTTGATTATTTGTTTTTATTGATTGATTAATAACATATTTTGTATAAAGCTATTTTTTTTTTTTTATTAATAGTTAGTATAGAGTATGTGTGTGTTCAAATTGTGAGATGGGTTTTTATATTTGGTTAAACATTCTGGAGAGTAATTGAGTAATTGAGGGAATTACTGACTTCTTTCAGTTAGCAATGGGTTTAGTTCTGAGTTTTTGAATTTTGCTTCGAAGCTCTTGCAGGTTTGATGATCTTCACAGTCTTCTCTTTGTTATGTTTCTTTTTCATTTTTTATTTATGTAGCTTTCAATTTATTTGGATTGGTGTTTCTAAACCTTAAACTGATATGTATTTGTTTTTCTTTTTTTTGTTGAGGCATGAGTCTTGACATTAGATCTATATCCAGTAGCACACTCGATTAAGTAGAATTTGGGACCATCACTTAACAATGCCCTTTTATTTCATTTTTTATTTTATTTTATTTTTAATTTTTAATTTTATTTATTTATTTTTTCATTACTTGCAAGTGCATTTTGGAAAGGAGCTTTATGAAATATAAAATTCAGTTCACTTACAGGTGAGGATTTTGATTGTGATAGTTGTTATCTGTCATACAAAAATTGGTATGTATAGTTGATCTCTCCTTTCTTGCTGTAATCATTTGCTTCTGATATGGCATATTTAATGATCCCTCTAATAATCTTGAGCTATAATATTTAATTCTAAAATATTGAGATTGCACATCATAATAATCCATTAAGCTAAAATATTTAATTCTTGAGCTATATGCTTTGAAGGGTTCCTAATTAACTATACTAATTCTTGAGCTATATGCTTGGAAGGGTTCCTAAAATCCAAAATAGAAGAAGAAAAAGAAGAACTTGAAGTAGACATGTAGAATGAATCTAAAAAAAACAGAAGATATATATATAGAGAGAGAGAGAAGATTAAATTACCTGAAATGAGAAGAATGAGAAACAGAACAATCTTTTGTCTATGTGGTGGTGGTGTTTGTTTTTTGTTTTGGTTTCAGAGACATAGGCCTCTTTTGGGTATATGGTTTTTAGCCACTTTTTTGAGTTTATAAAAGCTAAAAGTTAGCCTTTTGTATTTAAAGACATTTGAAAAGTTGGTTTTTAATAATTGGTGAAATTACAATTCTACCTCTCATGGGTCAAAATATGTTACATAGGTGAATAGTTTGGTCATTTTATAATTGGTCATTTTAAATTAAATGTGGATAGTTTGGTCATTTTATTGTGATTTGATATCATAAATAAATATTAATCAAAAAAGTCAAAAGTAACTTTTTATCAACTTCTCAAATCATTTGTTTAAAAAAGTCAAAAACTTAATTAAACGTAAAAAAAATTATTTTTTACCATCTTCCCAAAAACATCCCATAGAAGGGTATGAGAGAGAGAGAGAATGTTGAGCAATTCAGAGAGATAATGTAAGATATGTATAGTAGTTAGGTAAGGGAGGAGAGTGGTTGGGAATTGAGAAGAACGAGTAAGAAATGGTGTACAGTTCATTACCAACATAATATAGAAAAACATATAGAAATAAATATAGAAACCCATATCAGTTGCTATCAGTTTAGAGCAACAATTACTTTGGGCTTTATTTTATTTTTTAGAGCAATAAAGGAAGTTAGGTTGCTGGACATCAAGTCCATTTCGTATTAAATTCGTATTATGAATACCATGTTCTACAACTTAAAAAAAAAAACTTTTACATCATTAGGTGAAGTTTGGATATGGTGTTTAGTTTTTATTTTTTATTTTTGGTCACATAATAGGATTAGGTACGTGTTTGGGTATGATTTGGATTGGTGTTTGTGTTTCCAAACTGGTGAGCAACTTTGTGTTTGTGTTACGAAGGTAAGAATGAAAGGAGATGTGAAGTTGCTAAAAAATTAGTAGAGCAACTTTATCAAAATATTTAGGTGGGTTGAAAGAGCAGTTTTTTTATTTTTTTTTGGACTCATTTTGTAGTATGGTATACAAGCTGATCCTTGGGTTTGAAATAATAATTGATCCTCATAAAATGGTTTTAATCTATTTAATTTTTTGATTAGGTTGTGTTTTTAAGATTTCGGTTTCGATTTGTGTCTGTGTTTCTAAGATTTTTGTTGGGTTTGTGTGATTAGGTATGCATTCAATGGAATCACAGAAAAAGTTGGAACAAAGCTTAAGAGACACAAAGCATTGAACAGAGCATTGAAAATCCATTCTGTTTCTTTTCAACAAAGCAAAAAGAGACCATCAATTTGGGTTTGTGTTTCTAAGATTTGGATTTGGATTTGTATTTGTTTTTTCTAAGCCTTAAACTGATGTGTTTTGGTGTTTAGATTTGTGGTCTGTTTCTTTTTTCATTTTTTTATTTATGCATCTTTCAATTTATATGGGTTGGTGTTAAGTTATGTTATGTATTTGGGTTAGTGTTTCTAAACCTTAAACTGATATGTATTTGGGTTTCTTTTTCTTTTTTTGTGTTCTATTTCTTTTCATTTTTTTATTTATGCAGTTTTCAATTTATATGGGTTGGTGATAAGTTATGTTATGTATTTGGGTTGGTGTTTCTAAATCTTAAATTGATATGTATTTGTTTTTCTTTTTTTGTATTGTCAGGCGAGGGTCTTGACATTGATTTGTGGGACTGTTGACATTGGTTTGGGTCTCAACATTTTCTTTTTTATTTTTTTTTCTTCAACCCGCATGTTTCTCACAGGTCATTATTTTTGTTTTATTTTATTTTATTTCTATAACCCAATTTAAATTTTCACTCATAATTCATGGACTATTTCTTCATCCCTGTTGAAGACATGGTGAAGAACTTGAAAAGAAACAGAGTAAGGAAAGAGATAGTGGTTGGTTTTCTTAATTGTGCTGCGCATTCAAATGCTTGGCCACTATCACATCTTTATTTATTTTATGTGCTATTCAAATTGTGTTGATATATTATTATTTTTTTCAATAGGAATGCAAAATGTGTTGATATATTATTATTTTTTTTCCTTAGGAATGCAAAAAAATATGTGAAAGATAAACCCCGCAAAGGACTGATGGCTACTTCTTTCTACCGACAAATTGCTTGGATTGTTAATGGTATTTATTTATTATTTATTATTTAGTAAAATACGTAAAAGATATCAGATTGTTTAGATTGAAAACATGAAAATAGTTTAAATTGAAAATAAATCAAAAATTTAATATTTAAATTTATAAAATTGAAAACTCAATAGTTTATTTTGTTACAAGTATTAAATTCTAAGTTTTTTTTTTTTTGAGTAATTTTTCCTAAATTTTAATAATACCTAAAATTATTCAAACAAAATTGGCTTTTGTGTGGTGGCAGCATACAATGTTTCTAATATATTCATGTTCCCCGTGATTAATTAAATGTTGAGGATGTATTAAATTAATTAATTAATTGACATTATACGTAGAAATTATAACTACATTTTAATCCTAACATTATTTACACCGAACATTATTTACATCGTGCCTTCAGGCACGGGCATACGCTAGTATATATATATATCGAGTATCTACTCCAAATAGCAATAATATGCCTAAACTTTTTGCTCAAATAAAAGTAACATGCCTAAACTTAAAAGAGTCGCTTTTCATCCACTCTAAAAGAAAATTTTGAAAGAATTCAAAATCATGTACCTTGAGTGCATCCACAAATTGCTGCTTCCAAATTGAGAGCACATGAGATTCTTCAGAATCAATCTTTTTTACAAAATGTTCACTTGAAGATTCAGCTAGATCACTACCAGGCACATTTTGATAAGTTCCTGCAAGTTATACTTTGAAAAGAGAGAGATTTAGATTCAATTTTTATGGTGAAAAACAAGAGAAATACAAACAATAGTGTAGTATATTGCATTAGAACATTATTTATGACGACATCTGGATGATGCTTCCTCTCAAATCTCTTAATCTAATACATTAGGCATAGTTATGGTTTTTTGACATCAAGAGTTACTAAGCTTCATACAGCTTAATTGCTTTCATATTTTTCACAGCAGATTAAGCCTCAAATTCCATAAATTTAGCCTTTGACATAGCTTAGACATCCTTCCAGATGTTTATCGTTACTGAACCAGAGAGCCTTTCTGAAGCTATAATAACGCTATTCACAATATCCACACAAGACAACAGGAAAACAGTACTCTCTTTGAGCAACATTACCTGCCCCGTTTCCTGAATGAACAGTAAAAATATCACCGATGCTTCTACTTTCATCTTCACCATCTTGAAGTACTTCAGAATACTCATCAGAGACATTGTCATGTTTGCAAAAAGCAACCTCTTCTGGCACCCAGTCCTCTGGCCTCTCAGTTCTTGCGCTGAGTCATATAAAAAAGATGTGAGTGAAGCCAAATATCAACCCTTCTAATTGCAACATTTTCATCAGTACAGCAGGAAGAAAGATGCATACAAAATTAAAATAAGAAAAAACATACAAAGGAAGAGACAAGTAGGGCCAACGCTTGTCCTGAACATAAGCATGTATCAGCAAAAACCCAAACTGGAGCACTGTCAATAAGGCTTCCCATAAGGTAACAACATTTGGAGTCCATACCTGCAAAGTAATGAAAACTTGTTCACAAATGTTTTGACATTGAAGGAAACAAATACATAATGGTGAAACCAAGATGGCTCACTCAAGAGGATGGATACAAAATATCACCTCCAATATTATGTATAGCCAAACATAGGCCCAAAAGGACCAAAAGAGTTCTACTAGCCAAACTCCTAAATCTGAAATCTTTTTCAATTCTCCAGCTTTTGGAACCACAACGCAAACAGCATGGATAGGAAATAGGTCGAATGCAGCAGAGCCAACAAGTGTTCCAGGACCCAAACCTGTCAATACATATTTGTTTAGCAGGGTTATCACCAAAACATGCAAGAGTGACCAAGTGTACAGCTCAATCAGAACCAAAGTTCACAAATCCAACCTCTGTAATAACTAACCTTGTGGTTTATACACATATGAACACAAACAAATATGCTCACAAATAAATTGTTAGTTAACTATTAATTGTGAGTTAAATTTAAATTTACAATACTAAGCTAGTAGTTTCCAAATTATATTTTAGTCTTCCAATTCTCTTTAATCTTTTAAAAAATTTGTGATAAGTTAAGAACTTCACTCAATGATAGAAACTTCAACTTCAGCAGTTATGAAAAACTGTATGGTAATGAATCCAAGAACTAGAACCAAGGTAACAAGAGCAAATGGGAAGACAAAAAAAACTTCATAAGCAATATATACAAAGAATTATTATGACATCAAATGTAGTTGACTTTGATGAGAATAGAGAGTTAATTGTCATAACTTGGATCATAGAGATATAAAATTTGAAGCACAATGGCCATCACATCACAAGTAGTTTAACAAGATGGACAGGGATTTCCAAATTTTATCTCATCATTAAATACATAGAAAATGACAATAATTTCCAACAAGATTGGGAAAGATTTCCAAATTTATATCATTAGTTTTTCAGATAGAAAAAATCATCTCCTATGTTAGAATAAGCACTGAGTACAGGTATAGAAAGAAGGTAACAGACCAACCTCCGGCATACAATTCCCCAAGGTTTCGTAAGGCATCAATGGTAGCCAAAGAGATTTGAGGGAAGCTAGTCCCAAACGCCAGCAAGGTGATGTCAGCAATTGTGTAATTCCACACTTTTTCATATCTAACAACTTCAGTATTTGTTAAAGGATCTATCTCCACCACAGTCCGAGTGTGTTTAACAACATTTTCCATAGACCGGAAGAACCGATCAGTTATAGCTGATAATCCAATAAAACAATAACCAAGACCAAGAAAATACAAAAAGGCCCTGAATCCATCACTAAGGGCAGTTTCACCACTAAAAATGAAGTAGTCTACGCATTTTTCATGCCCAAAAATATTGGAAATTCGATGTATGCTCTCAGCAGAATGGTTATACATGGAGACCATTCAAAGTAGTTCGAATTTCACTGCTCAAGCAAATGGAGGATTACTTGTTGCAAGTAATTACGTATCTGACAAAAAATAAGCAGCTAGTAAGCAAAACCCAAAATCAGAATTTTGAGGAAAACAATTACATTCTATCAATAATAAGTATGCACAAATCTTCAATTACATAAATATTGATGTTGTATTCTTTAATTGATTTATTTGAAAGTGATGGCTTGATTCAAGCTCCAACAAATCTAGGTAAAAAACTAATTGGGTTTATTTGCAATTTGAATATACAACATAACTAAATGTTTTCAGTAGCAAAAAAATAAATTAATTAACAAAACTTGCACGCCACTTATATGACTGGCAAGTACTTAATCTCACAACAGAAGCTCATTCCCAAATTAAATTGGTCTGTGAATCACATAATGCAATTTTGCCCAACGAGGAAAATAAAATTTTAAATTTAAAAAAAAAAAAAAGAAAAGAAAAGAAAAGGGAACAAAGCTCACAACTCATTAATGAAATCAATTTTTTTAAAAAAATTAATTAATTAATTAAATTCGCAACAACGTCGACCGCTAAATTTGAGACATGCTCTCGAGTGCTCGAATCTCAAAAGAAAAATGGAAAATTGTGACTGTATAAATAGAGCATGAAGGAACCGACATACCTGAAGAGTAGAGGTGTACGGATCGCCGGAGATCTCTGGCCGTGAAATCTGGAGATCGCCGGAGAGCCGTCGATGCATATAATGACGAAGAGCCTCAAATCCGAAGAATCCTGCTGTCTTTGAATTCGATGGAGACTGTACCTATATGTTTAAAAAAAATGATTTACCTTCTAATTTTGCCCCCCAAGTCTGCTATGGAATTAGTTATAGTGGCCTTTACCATATATATATTCAAGAAAATAATATAATTTTATATCTTTTAAATTATGAAAAATTATTTATAAGTTCTATTCGGGAGACTTATGCTATATATGATTTTACTAAAAATTTATGTGTATGTTTGGTTTGAGTTTGGGAGATGAGTTTTAGAGATAAAAAGTACGAAAAATTGTTTGGTTTGGTTTTTTTCAAAAGATGTTTTGAAAAATTATTTTGAGGGAGAGTTTTGGAAAAAGTAATTGATTTGATATATATGAGAGAGAGATTTGTTTGAAAAACTTGTAAACCAAATAAGTTTTGAAAAAAAATTTTGAAAAAATTTGTTTGATTTGATTACTTTTGAAAATTTATTTGTAGAGAATTTTTCCTAAAAATTTTTGAGAAACACAAACCAAACAAGGCCTATGTTTCTATAAGTCTTATGGAAAATTTGTTGACACATTTATCCTCATATTAGTTGTTAATATCATAAATAATAGTAAAACCATATATAGGAAATTGAATATTACTATAAATCATGTATACATAAACATAATATAACGTGACATCTACATAAACGTAATATGACACCTATGATCTATGGCAACATTCAATTTTCTACGAAATTGAATGTTATCATAGATCATATCGACATAAACGTAACGTAACGTGACACCTATGATCTATGGCAACATTCAATTTTCTATATTTATATGAAACGTAACGTGACACCCACATAAATCAGCAATATTTTCACATTCAATTTAAAAAAATAAAAACTCATTAAGTTTGCGAAACGTAACATGACACGTTACGTTACGTTTATGTAGATGTCACGTCACGTTACGTTTATGTAGGATCTTGTGGAATATATTCCTATCTAAATAGGACTTGAGACTCTATAAGAAATTACACAGGACTTAACCTACCATAAGCGTCTGAAAAAAGACTTATAAATAAATCTCTCTTTAAATTATAATTAAAAAAATATTATAACTAAATAAAAAAAAATTATAATTAAATATTTTAAAATTATATCATAATTAAAAAAATAATAATATAATTAAAATATATATATAATAAAAGAATATGTATAATAAAATTCTCCAAATTGTGTACATATGTATATGTAGAGTAAACACAAGTCAAACCACAAAATTGAGGAAACAGACGTGCATGGACGCTGTTCTCTTTATCGTTCGGCTTTACCTTTTAGGGAACGAAAATGCGAAGTCAAAAATTAAAATTTGGTGTTAAAGAGTGAGTTGTGCTGAATTTATATTATACCACCACCGCTATCTATAATTAGCAGCGCGAAACGCTCTAATCTTGTAATAAAAATTCTAGCAGTGTCACTGTACCAAATATTTTTACATAAATTTTTAAAAATAAATAAATAAAAATTATGAGCAACCCCATGTCAATCAAACAAGACCTTTGTATGTTTAGTGATATTACATGCAGCAATTAATATATATATTAGCATATCAATTAGTGTTATATCATTATTACTGACCTCACCTATTATACAAATTATAAATATTTAAAATCTCTAAAATTATGACATATCATATGTTAGTATATTACTTAGTACATTAATTGATATATATAATGGTGATACAGTTTGTCCCAGTGAATGGATTGGACTGGTCCAAGCTCCTCAAGCCCAAGTCCAAATGATCAAGCTCACCGATTAACCTGCAAACAAGTTCAACGGGGAACGGGGTAGTTCCCCAGTGAACCCTCCGACGAGCAAGTTAGGAAGAGAAGTAGAGTATAGAGGAGAGATTAGAGATAGAAAAGCTTAACATTCTTCTTGTCTTCAATGTTTGCTTATATCATTTGGTAATCATTTCGCTGTCCCTTCCGACCTGCCCTCCTCGCCGAAAGTCTATGCTATAGCTTACCTTGTTCAGGGTAAGGAGGTCATGTTCCGACGGAGAGGTGTTGTCGTACTAAATGCTGTAATGGGTTGCCTTAATGGTGATGTGCAGTGGCAATAACTTTGCAGATCTTTGTCTGCTGATGTGGCTCGTCCTTTGCCTGCCATATGTCTGAATGTCATTGGCTCTTTGTGCCATGCCGAATTCCAGTTGTTCTGGACTCCACCAGCTGGGTTATGTACTGGGCTCCAAGTGATGCGCTTGGGTTGTTTATAGTGGGCTATGGCCTCTATGGGCTTAGCCACGTCAGTAGTCTCCCATTCCCGAGTGCAACTTTAGTCCAACGAAGGGAATACAAATGAAAGGAATGAGGATGCCAGGGAATGGTGGGGTGGGGGTCGACCGACAGGGGTGACCGAGGGCGTGGGCCGACTGTGAGGTGGACCGACCGTGAATGGTGGCTAAATGGGAGGGCCGACCACGAGGATGGTCGACCGCGGGGAGGACCGACCGCGAGATGAACCGACCGCGAAGGGTGACCGAGTGGGAGGGCCGACCACGAGGGGGGGCCGACCGTGGGAGTTGGCCGAGTGGGAGGGGTGCGGGGCTCAAGAGGCGGCGTATCACGTAGTGATTTGAAGTGGAAAAGACGGGATAAGGGGAGGAGACAGTGAATCGTGGTCGTACATGTGGCAACATCTCGTGGGAGGAGATTAGGTGTTGGAGCAGAAATGAAACGGCGGGTCATTATGGGTGTTTGAAAAGACAGTTTTAGCGGATGATTTGAAAAGTTTTCAAACTGGCGAAAATTAATTGGGATCCTTGGAATACGGGCAAATCGTGGGTTTTTGGCATCATTCGATTCACCTACTTGTTTACAAAGAACCAAGACATTCCAAGTGTTACTTCATTTGTTGCTCACGATACACCTCTGCAGCACTTCTTCAATTTCCTTGCTCCTGTATCGGAAGCGATTCGCAGACATACCATAGAGATGGCCCAAGAAGAAGCTGTGAATGTCATGGTGGATCCACTAGGCGATGATGATGCAGTGGAGTTAGCGCAGCAATATAGGATGGAGAGGGTGGGGGAGTCGGTCGCACGATCCCACAGTTCCACCATGATAGCAGCTGCAAAGCCAATTAGCCAGGCAGAACCAGACCACTGGCATACAAAGGCAGATAAATCAACGGTTACTGCAGCGGATTTGGAGGCTGTTCGCGAAAAATATCAAGTGCCTACTGAAATAGAGTTATCGTTGCCGATGTTGACGGAGAGGCCATCCAATGCCAGGCCAGGGCAGTTTGCCCTTTATGAGGAGGCATTGAAAGGAGAACTAAGGCTGCCCCTGCCGCAGGTCGTAGTAGATGTCCTAAATCATTTGGAGGTGGCGCCAGGCCAACTAATGCCTAATGCGTAGAAGATCTTATTGTCCTGTGCAAGTGCCTGGCCGAAGGCGAACGAAGGGGCGGCCATGACAGTGGACAAATTCTTCGCATGTTACAAGGCCTCCGGGAAGCAAGAGACTTGGGTCACTCTGCAGGTAGCGGCAGGGAAAGGGCTGGTGGCGGGGCTGACGTCGTCGATTAAGGGGTAGAGACCACGGTGGTTCTATGTGTCTGCCAGTGGAGGGGTTGGAGTGCGCACCATTTGGAAGGTGCCCACCAAGTCGATGGAGCCAAAGCTGGGAGCAGCAGCAGAGGAGAGGGTGAAGAGGGTAAAGGAATGGAAAGGAAAAGGAATGGGCCAGATGGGACGAGCTCGTACAGCTGTCTGCGTTGTTTGAGGCAGGTTTAGGTCCACAGCCGAGCGAGGGGGATCTTGACCGAGCGGAGTTGGAGGCAAGGAGGAAGGCTCAGGAGGCGTAGGATCGGACCATTCTTGCAAAGGCCCAAAAATTCAAAGAGTCTCAGGCAGACCGACCGGCAAAACCGATTACCAGAGAGGGGATTCGACCTCGCCCCAAACCCTTGGGGGAGAAAGATTTAGGTGAATTTATGCCACGACCGCCACCAATGGACCCTTTGAAGGAGAGGTCTTTGAAGGAGATAGAGGTGTTAGGCGTGGTGAAGAAGAAGAAGAGAGTGATGCGGAGTGAAGAAGAGCCTGCCCAGAAGAGAAGGAGGGAAGTGAGGGAAGAAGAGGCCAGTCTGACCAAGGAGATAGAGGGTGGGAAAGTGAAGGAGACCCCAGGAAGGGTAATTGTCCCAGAAGCGGTGGACATTGCCTCAGAGGTCAGGGAAGTCGTGCCAATGGTGCCGGCGATCGGCGTAAGGGTTGCGAAGGTCGCCCCTGAGTCAAGGAGGGGAGAACAGCCCTAGAGTGGGCCTGCACCCCAAGGAGGGGGAGTTAGTCTGACTACAGCGATCTATCACGCTCGTGCGGTGGCTGGGCAGCTGGAGGGAGAAGAAGACCCAGCCAGGGCAGGGGCAGACTGCCTGGTGGGGATTGTAGAAGAGGCAGCCCTCCGTTCAGCATCCAGATTCAACGAGGCTGAACTGCTGAGGGGGTTATGCTCCGCTCAAATAGAGGCAGCCTTGCGCAGTCGCAGTCGAACGACATGAAGAGGCAATGAGCAGTAACAAAGAGCTGGTCAGGCAGAAAGATGAGACAGATGTGAAGATTGGCGACCTGAAGAAGGAACTAGAGGGCGAACGTGCCAAGGCAATGAAGGAGAGGGGGAGACTTCAGAAGGAGTTGGCAGTAGAGAGAGCCAAGGCGACGGCGAAAAAGGCGAGCCTCGAGAAGGAGTTGGAGGAGGAGAGGGCTAAGGCTGCGTCTGAAAGAGCGGCCCTGCAGAGGGAGCTGGACGAAGAGAGGGCGAAGGCAGCCTCTGAAAGGGCAGCTTACCCCGATCTGTGCGTCGCAGCGGTGGAGCAGTTCAAAGGGTCTGCTGAATTTCAGATGGCAGTTGATGCCGCGGTCGCCAGCAGCTTGGCTAGACACTGGGGGGGCGGGCCCATCGACGACGACCGCTGGAGGCAGAACTGAAGCAGAAATTATTGAGAGCTTCCAGCAGTCAGACTTCTACAAACACGAAATGGCTGAGTTCTGGGACAGTGGCTGGAAGATGTTCAAACGTAGAGCTGAAGAACTGTTCCCAGACTTAGACCTCAGT